TGTGATGATCAATGTGTTCTATGTTTAATATATTTTAAAAGGAACCTTTTGTCATGGTATTCAGAATTTGGGTCATTACCTATAGTGAATTTTAGAATCGTTATTAAGGTTGTTTTAGAAGTCAATCGCCCGCTACAACGGCATAGTACCAATGTGACTTTTTTTGAGTTATATGTATGTACATTAAATTATTATGTTTTCGGCTTACTCACGTAATAATTTGACGCGTCGCGTCGCGGGTCGCGGAATGCTGCTCATGAATATGAGCCTCTAGCATGGCTTGAAACTAGTCGAGTTCCTCGTCAAATTATTACGTGAGTAAGCCGAAAACATAATAATTTATTTAGTATGTCTCACGAAAGTTACAATACAAATATATGTACATTCAAAGAATATTTAGACACCACTGACAAACTGTAAAGGAAAACATCGTGAGGAAACCTGGGCTTATAATTTCTAATTAATTTTTAAATCGCTAACTTGTATTGAGAATGCGTGGTGATGCTTAAACCTTCTCCGTGTGAGAAGAGGCGTTTAGTCAGCAGTGGTCATTTATACGCTGTTGACGATGATGAGAAGTCATTGTAAAACAAAAAAGGAAAGACAGAATAACCAAATTATAACAAGTACCTAGTTAGCTATATAGAGATACCTTGCCAAGTCATTTAAAAAAGAAACTCAAAGATTAGGTCGAGGGGAGCAACTCCAAAATCGATTAGTCGGATTTTCGTTTGTCATTCGATCACTAAAAGTTACGGAGTTACGTTTTTTCAATTTGTTCCTCTGTTGCAGAATGTAAACTTGTGACTCGTTGTTCTCTGACAATCTGGCAAACTAATCTTATATATATAAAAGAAAGTCGTGTTAGTTACACCACTTATAACTCAAGAACGGCAGATTAGATTTGACTGAAAATTGGTAGGAAGGTAGCTTAGAGCCAGGAGATCGACATAGGATACTTTTAACCAATACTTTATTTTACTTTTTACCGAAAATTACGAACGGGGACGGGAAAAAATGGGATTACGCGTACGAAGTCGCGGGCAGAAGCTAGTTACAGTAGTTACTAATAGTGGCCATTGACCATTTCTGTACCTATGTACTGTATCTACGTGAGTACTACCATACCTGTCGAAGTACTACTAGTACTTTTTTTTTGTATTCTAACTTTTGTGAGACATACTAAATAAATTATTATGTTTTCGGTTTACTCACGTAATAATGAGTAGCAACGCGACAGTCGCGTCGTCGCGAAATGCTGCTCATGAATATGAGCATCTAGCATGGCTTGAAACAATTCGAGTTCCTCGTCAAATTATTGCATGAGTAGGCCGAAAACATAATCATTTACTACTAGTACTTCTGCAAATTCAAAATTTGGTATATAAGAAGTCATACCTTTAACTAAGACTGGGTAGTAGCACTTTCAGATAAACCTAATTCTTACATAACATAACATCACGCCTTTTATCCCCGAAGGGGAAGCCAGAGGTGCGCATTACGGCACTTAATGCCACTAAACAATGTAACACCTACTTTTCACTATTTATGTTATGAGTTCCATGTAATAGTGGGTGAGCCTATTGGCATATACCGGGCACATTTATAGACTCCGTGCAACTACTGAGGTTTTAAAAACCCAGTAATAATTTGCCCGACCCGGGAATCGAACCCGAGACCCCTTGCCCAGCGGCGCACTTGCGACTACTCAGCCAATGAGGCAGAGCACCTAAATCTTGTCACCTTTATTTAATCAAAGCGCTACGCGTTGCCTGCAAGAGTTTATAATCTATATATATAAAAGAAAGTCGTGTTAGTTACACTATTTGCTAAATCGATTTGGATGAAAATTGGTGGGGAGGTAGCTTAGAGCCAGGAGACGGACATAGGATATTTTTTACCCAATTCTTTTTTTTTTACTTTTTACCGAAAATCAAGAACGGGAACGGGAAATATCGGAATTGCGCGTACGAAGTCGCGGGCAGAAGCTAGTTTAAGAGAAAAGTAAGTCTTTATACTAATATACTTTAAGATGGTATTTTTATTTCTAAAGGTATATGACATGATTGTGTAGGTGTGTAAACACTCCCAGTGGTACCCGAAGACAATCAGCCGTCTACCACACATCAAAAGATGACAACGGATGAATTTTAAAAAGTAGCAACAGATAAAATATTGATGTGTCATTGACATGTGGCATATTTGCATGCTACACGCACGTGGTCTCCAGGGAGCAAGAAAAAGGGACATGTGTGCAAACGTGAGCCCTCCCTACTTCTTTTTAAGGGTGAAAATCGATTACGTGTAGGTTTATTACACTTGATTTTAAGAAAAAAAAAAGAATAAAATTCCATTTTCAAAATGATTTTATGTTTTTTAAGGAACAGAGAGTAAAGTTCCCAAGATCGGAAAAGGATCCTCTGACTAGGCGAGGTGTCTGTGGCTGGCGGGCTTTCTGCCCAACAGTTATTCGTTGGGATTTTCTATCTGTGTTAATTAGCATAATTATAAACTTCACATGTGCGATGTAGGATTTTTGTGACGTGTTACGTTGATTTGTTTCATCGATACCTAGTCTATGAGCGTGAACTGTCCTACGGTCGTTTTTTTTATATCATAAGCCGGTAAACGAGCAGACGGATCACCTGATGGTAAGCAATCGGCGTCGCCCATGGACACCTGGAACACCAGAAGCGTTACACGTGCATTACCGGCCTTTTGGGGATTAGGAGTTTGAGGATCGTTGGGGTTTCAGGAATTGGGGAAATTGGGGAAGGGTAGGGTAATTGGGCCTCCGGTAACCTCACTCACAACACAACGCAAGCGTTGCTTCACGTCGGTTTTCTGTGAGGCCGTGGTATCACTTCGGTCGAGCCGGCCCATTCGTGCCGAAGCATGGCTCTCCCACACTTGTTTCACATGTGTCGTGACATTTTAAAAGAGATTTTTATTCTTATAGTTAATACAATATGAACTCTGATCTCGGAACAATAACTAAAGCATGTTCCGAGACTCTGATGCACGGGGAAACGTCATTTTAATTTATTACGCCATCGTGACAGAATGCATTTTAATAAATAAATACTGGCATTATAAATAAAGAAAACAAATGTTGACACTCCCTGAATAAATACCTAACTATTGAGTAAAACTATTACCTGTTGCGTGTCAAAAGCAGTATGCATTGACAGCAGTTTATTGGGAATTAATCTGAAAGGGGGTATAATAAAGGGGCTTTAAGGGAAACTATTATTTTTAATAGGAGGGTGGAGATCTGCCACTAATAAATAGTAATAAGTAATAATACTATTGTAATTATTACTCTAGATAATCATATAAATAGATGATATCTCTTCTATTAGGATGCAGTTTCATTTGTTTAAAAACTAGGTTTTTTTTTAAGCGTGGAAAATCATCGAATGACTGCTCCCGCCTGGGTGAGGCGGGAGGGAGTGTCAGACTCTTACTGACTAAAAACCACCCCGTTCCTTCTCCTGCACGTCGAGTCGGAGCCCCGGCTAACCCGTTAGGTTCTCCGCGACTTAAAATCTAGGATTACGAGGACTTTTACTTTCAAACTTCAACCACTTAAAAATCTACAGGTGTAACAGTTATTTATAGCTTTTTAAGTTGTTAGTAGTCACTTTACAATTATTTATCATCCATTCACTGACTGGGAACATAGACTTCTTCAATAGCACGTCGCTGAGATCGATCTTCGACTCCTCGCATCCAAGTACTGCCACCTACCCGAATAGCAGCACTTTAACAAGATAGAAGATCCTCTCTGTACCTAGTGTCGACTCCAGATCACGGTATCTATTTAAAACTGGTTTTAACCGACTTCAAAAAAAGGGGAGGTTCTCAATCTGACCTGTATGTATGAATGTATTATGTTCAAGCGCGATTATTTCAAAATTGACTGAACCGATTTTGATTTGGTTTTCAACAAAGTGTTTGTAACGATTAAAAGAAAGGTTGTAAATTATTCGACCGCCTTAAAAAAAAGAGAGGCTTGAAAACGGTTTTTAAACGTAATTTATAAAATAATAATTACTTTTTATAGTCTATGGATAATTTAAACTGTCAAACACCGCGAGGACACCGGTGACCGCTACCTAAATCGTTCTTTAATTGTGTCTATAATGACGGTACTCAAAGGGTAGTTAAAAAACCTTAGTTCATCATAAATATGCACCCATTCTATTTTCCTCCACATAAGGTCGATTATCCATAAAACCAACAGTGAGAGAATCCCATAAATTCAGCTATAATCCGTCTGGATGCAAGTTGAGTGGGGGGAACTAATGGCTTGACTAAAACACAGCGAAAGTTTTAAATTAGTAGCGAATCGTGAAGTTATCGAGCGTAAAATTGACGTGCCTAAGGGAAAAAGGGGGTCGAACTGTGTATTTTATGTTATGGTAGTCTTATGGGGTTTGGTATTCGGATGTCTTTACAAACATTGGTATTGTTAAGAAGAAACGTTTATAAAATTAAAAAACTGCGTTTTAAAAACCGACTTCAAAAACTAAAGACAAAGGAAAAGTAAAAAAAAGGAAAATATAACTATTATTGGTCATACGTACTTATAGCTTACACACCCACTGATAGGTGAGAAGTCGGTGCCAAACGATCTCCTCCTTTTTTGAACTCGGAAATGCTTATAAAATCACAATAAATTTTATTTATAAATCGCAAAACTACTGATGTAGGTATACTTATTTTCTGAATTAAATTTTATTTTAAGCTTGAAGTTAACGGACACCTATTTAGCAACTTACATATGTTTTCTAAAAGTATTATTAGTCAATATAGTTTTTGTCCCATCTCTTGAACATTACTGTTCCACAACCAGGTTCTAAACTTGTAATAAAACAAACCTATTGGTCCAGCTACAATGACTATCTTTTCTACAGACTACAATTAAAAATGAAACCTGCAGATACATCGAAAAAAAAACTAAATATAATTGAACTAAAAGAACTCTAAAACAACAGTTAGACGGCTTGTAAAAATCCTAGCTTCTTATATAATAGCAGTTCCCATCGCTTCAGCTTCGCTATGGGGGCGTCATTGTCGACCTTCTTACTCTTCTTGTATTTCCTGAAGAAGTCTGCATCAACCTGGAGACAATAATCTCTTATTAAAACCATGACTAACATTGTTTTCATTTGAACTCAAGTGTCCTCTCTGTACATCCACTTTATCAGGGTGCTTACTCTTGTAACCAATCTCAATGTCAATCCAATAAAATATCAATAATTATCCAATGTCAAAACTATACAACCCCTATCGTAGCTGCTAAAGTAGCATTTAGAGTACAGAATATAAAACCAAACTCAATACCATTTAGTTCATGAAATATCCCCGCAATACGGATGCAAAAGGCGCTAGTGTTACAACTCAAGAGTACGAAATTTCACAATGTCAATGTCGATCGATCGGAATTTGATACAAGAGTAAGCCCCTGGTCTTGTAACCAGTCTCGTTCTAGAATTATCAATAGTACATTCAGCAGCCTGCTTTTTGCCAGAAAGTTATGAAGTGTATGTTTGTAAACGCACCGACGACACAGGACAAAATTCTAGTATGGGGCAACGTTTTCATCATCATTGAAGAAAAAAATGTTATATGTTAGCTCATTTTTTACACGTGGCACAATCCCAAAATTATCTTCCGTACCATACAGTATCAATTTCGAAAATCAAAGATATGGAAATTTAATTTTGTTTATATGGGGAATCTGAAATAAATGTTATCACCAAAACACAAGAGAAACTCGAACGGAGCAAGAAAAAAATGACTCCTAAATACCCACCTTGACTCTTTGATCGACATTATCGCTGGTCCCTTTCGTAGTACCGATGGCTGGTTCGCTCTTGTTTTTCGACCTCGGATAGAACAGCCACCGTTTGGACCCCAGGCCATCACTCTTCAGGATCTCCTCGATACGGTCATGACGCTTCCTCGTCGCCAGAAATTTTGATGGGTTCTTTCTGGTTTTGCTTGCTAAAATAAGATTTTTTTAATATTTGGTGGGCTGACGTTCCAACGTCAGTGGTCCACCACTATCTCGTCTGGTGGTAAGCGATAATGCGGCCTACAACGGAGCACGTTGTCCCATGAGCAACCTATTCACTCGGGCCTTGAAGACTCCCAGGCAAAGAATTCCACTCTTTAGCAGTACACACAAGAAAGCTTGATACGAACCGCGTCGTGCGTGTGGATGAGACATCTACCATACCATAAATGTATCCATATGTAGCACAACAATAATTATTATCAATGCGTTTTGTACGCCACTTTATATCTGAAACCATTTTTTTCCAAGTGCCATAAAATTTACTTGGCAAGGGGAACAAGCCTATTTAAAAAAAGGAGTTTGAAACTCAGATCTCGCACTGTTATTAATAATCCCAGGATACTTTCTATTCTGCAGACAAGTTCATGATTGGATTAGAATGACAGCCTACAAATAAAGTATTGTTTTCAGTATATTTCATCTGTTAGTCCCACAAAACGTAAGTCTGTAATGGTTACATCACAACATACATAACATTGAAGCCTTACCACATCTTTGTTTATTATTAGAAGGTAGAAGTTCTTCACACAATTGACGTTATTCCACAAAAGCTATATTCTACGAATATGGCTTTTCTTTAATGGAAGCCAGATATTGTACATCTCACACACGCCAACGACCTTACACATGACTTCAAACATAACTTGAGAATAAAGTCAATCATTCATTGTATAATACAAGTTGAAATATTTCTTCTTTACGAAGACAAAGAGACTAACAATAAATATGTCCATAGGAATAAACTCCTACAACTCGGAATAAGCAGTCAACAAATAATAAATGATCAGTATCAGCTTATTATGTCCGATATCTCACCAAAGGTTTGATACTTATAACACAGCTAGCAAACAGCATTAACCCTTGGGGAGCCTGGTAGGTAAAAATCACATGGCATGCCTGGTGGGTCTCACAGACCCGTAAATATAAATGGTTATTTTTATTTATTTTGATGTTATAAACTATAATAATATTATATAATTTATATTAAATATTATATATTAATGAAAAAAGAGAAAAAAAGACGACAATACATTATAATAAAGTTTTATTACTTAAGCAAATAAAAAATCTCTCGTTTTTGGGTAACAATAACATATCCTTAAATTAACAATATTAAACTCTTTTTAATTGAGATCAAAATCAGTCTTCACATTAATATAAGGCATAGATGAATAAACTTTGGTTACTAAAGTAAGATTAACTCAGTATTTGTGCGACAATTTTCGCATATAAATTTGCGTGCTCCAATCAAATATGACCTGTGCAAGAAATACAAATGTACTTAGATTTACGGCCCTTTTTAGCAAGGCATATGTAACAACGTCTTTTTATAGCAGCATCTTGTCTTTTAGCTGGTGTCTCTGAGAGTTTTCCTCTATGAGAGCTAATTCTCATCCTTAGGTTAATCGGAAACCACGTCATCCTCAATTTCATGGATCTTGATCTAAAATTTGCCTTATTTCGGTATTGGCTAATCGCCTGGCCATATTTAGTTAACTGCGAAAATATTATACAGATAAATAATTTACCACACAACGCAAAATAAATAATGAAAACAAAAATAATAACTTACCAGTTAAAAGTTACGCCGCGTGCCTGGTCGGGTTTCTCAGACCCGAGCGCACATAAAACACGTGTTACTAGAACGCGTGTGCGTTGTGGATTGCTGGAGGGGCGGCAATCTAGCCGCCAGTCTATATCACGAAGCTACTTAGGCATACAGCGGCGGTAATTACGAAATTTCTAAAATATTGTCGATTCTTTAAGGTGATGGGTCTGTCAGACCCACCAGGCACCCCAAGGGTTAAATAATGAAATTTCTGTGCTTTTCAAAATAAAAAAATTTACTCACGGGTCAAATATAAAACTCTAAAGGCATCTAGAAACCCTGGCTCCTTATAGTTCAGCTCACGGTTACGTGTGCCAGATTGTGAGTGGCTGTGAGTCCGTGATCGTGTGCGTGATCGAGACCGGGAGCGGGAACGGGATCGCGATCTGGACCGAGATCTCGACTTTGTCCGTGCTCTAGAATGAGATCTCGATCTCGACCGAGATCTTCTTGCACTGCCACTTCGAGATCTCGAATGTTTGTTGTCTCTTGTTTTGCGTCTTCGTTCTTTTGATCGACTACGTCTGAAAAAAACAATACTATGCAATGTAGGCAATGAGAGTAATCATAAAAGCAAGACACATAATTTAAAAGACCTGAAGGATAGAAAAAAATACTGTTTTTGCATTAAGTAATATACGACAATAATGTGTCTTTGTATCTCAATAAAAATTGACATGAGAATCCAATAGAATTACAGTGCTTTCCTATGCGTTTTATAGTATGCTTTTGCGTTTACATATATCCAAGTCAATTGTCTATACATTCAATAAAGGAAAACATTTAAGTAACGAATAATTCGCAAACACCTTGTCGTTTATAAGACACCAATCTTACCTTCCTCTATCCCGACCATCGTTCAAGGTAGCCAGGCCATAATATTCACCGAAACCATCGCCATGGTCAGGATATTCTTCAGGGGGTCGCATTGGGAGAAACGGTGGTGGATAGGGGTAACCATAACCATCCATCAACCATCAACCAATCCACTAACTTCACATACAATGTCCAAAAAAATATACACAAATAATTTTCTTACGAACATTCATTTCGATGCCTGTCACTGTCAAATTTTGTCTTTTTATTTTTTTTAGTTTTTTGGGTTTGGTGGAGGTTGCGGTAATATTAAATATCCTCAAAATTCACCTACAGATTGACCAAGTATTTGGTTAAATACTTTAATAAGCCAAGCATCGATCATCGGTATCGAATATAATGTTTTTCGATAAATATTGAATCAATAGTAATTGTAAACTGATTTGTATTATATTAAACTACTTACTACCTATCAATCGGTTTATTAAAAGGTTTTAATTACGGAAAACATGTTAACAATTTTACGTTTCGTTAATTTTTATTTTTATTTCTTAACTAGCTTTTACCCGCGTCTTCGCTCGCGTCACAAAAGTATAAAAAGTAACCTATGTGACATATACCAAAACACACAGCGCCATCTATACCAATAATTTCGTTTTCCCTTGAGAATATCAAATTTTTCCGGGATAAAAAGTACTCTATTATTTAATCCAGACAACTTCACGTCTCCAAAAATTCAAAGCAATCGGTTTAGTAGTTATGGCGCGAAAGTGGAACTAACAAACTCACTTTCCGAATTATAATATAAGTAAGGATTAAAGACATCATCATGGCCTAACTAGTGCCGATCATAGACGTCATCTCGTAAAAAAATTCTTCTAAATCAAACCATTTAACTCGTCGAGTACCGGTAGACACAATTAAAGAACAATAGGTCGCGGTCACCGGTGACCGCTTGGTGTTTGACAGATTAATATCCATTTGTATAGTGGTCATTTGGGACTCTTGCTACATTCTTCTTCCTAGTCGTTTTCTTCATTACTGAAGGTCGTATCTAGTCTGGTGCCCGCGTCACTTGAAACACAACCCTTCTCCAAACGCCCCTGTCCTCTGCGGTCTTTATGGCTTGTGGAACTGTCAGGCCGGTTAGGTTTTTTACAGCATCCAACCACCGGGTAGGTGAGCGACCACGAAGTCTTTTCCCGTTAACTCGACCAACAACCACAAGCTTCTCCAGATTTTTGGGGTATCTACGTGCAATGTGGCCAATATAGGTTAGTATCCGCTGCAGGCCAAACGGTGGTCTTGCTACATAACCCTTTTAAAAAGTCAAATCAAAACCCCAGTTTTAAATTCAAAACTTTTCCTAAAAAGTCATTAAGGCACACCCATTAATACAATAATCTTTGAAAAAATTCTAAGACATTATTATCGAAAATACTTACGACATTTTCCGAGTTTCGAATCGATTGTAATCGAGTAAAAAGTTGGAGAGTAACTTATCGATTTCGACAGAAAGAACAATTAAAGAAGTAAGATAAATTAGGAATCGATGAATGCTTAATGGTTCCCTCCATTAGAGGGTTTTGAGTTGGAGCGGTATTTTTTAAGAAAAAATTTAACTACTCCCCTCTAAAGTTTGAGGGAGAACACGGATTTAAAGAGTATGGAAGTGCCGTGCGACAATAGAAAATGCGGACCGTTTTTATTTCAAAAATTTCACTCCATTTAGATTATATACAATATAATAATCTTAGGTATCTGACATTGTACCTCTATAATAATGATAATAATCTTAGGTATGTCATACTATTGTCACTTTAGAATATTTCACGTTAGTTTTGCAATTGTCGATTTGTATTGCTGTGACTGCACGGTTGGTGCGGTGGCTGGGCAACCGGCTGCCGTGCAACGTGTCGCGGGTTCGATTCCCGCACGGGACAACACTTTGTGTGATCCACAAATTGTTGTTTCAGGTCTGGGTGTCTTTGTGTATGTGAACTTGTATGTTTGTAAACGCACTCACGACACAGGAGAAAATCCTAGTGAGGGGCAACGTTTTAAAAAAGAAAAAATTCAATGCTCGGGATGTGAAATTTTTATTTTATTATTTTCTGTACTAATAGAATCTGAATAAACTTAGCGTCTAAATCGTCTAACATCCTATTTATTAACTCAGGATAATTTACTTTTTCGTAGTGCACCTTCCACATCCGCTAACTCCTTGCAACAGCGAAGGCAGTACACTGTTCTTTAACTCGACTACTCACAGCCGCGGTCTATTCTTCACTTACTTTTTAATATTCCGCAAGTTTTCTGCTCATTTAGATTTTATACTAAGTGTACTTTGTTATAACCGACCACCAGCCTCCAGTGGGTTTTAAACTACGTCCAATAAGTGCAATTTATTTTTCATGAATTTCTGCAATGTTGCCCAAGTTATCGGAAGGGTTTGTGAAGTTTCGTGGCGGATTTTATGGTGTTTTGTTCTTGTTTTAGCTTTAGCGTTGCAACTGGTTTAGGTATTGGATTAATTAATGTGCTATATCATCATCATCATTGAGATTAACTGTCCCGCTGTAGAATAAAGTCATTCTCTACGAAATAAGTATTAATTACTAATATGCATAGCGGTATGTTATGATATGTCATAACGTTACCAACCTACCAACATCACGCCCTTTTTTTCCCCGAAGAGGTAGGCAGAGTGCACATTGCGGCACTTAATGCCACTGTGAACTGTAACACCCAATTTTCACTATTTATGTTATGAGTCCCATGTAACAGGGGGTGAGCCTATTGCCATATATCGGGCACAATTCCAGACTCCGTTCTACTACTGATATTTTTTTTAAAAAACCTAATAATACTTTGCCTGACCCTGGAATTGAACCCGAAACCCCTTGCCCGGCAGTCGCACTTGCGACCACTCGGCCAATAAGGCAGTTTTTCAACGTTCTTGCACGTTATTAAAGATTTTTAGCATTCAAATTACTTAATACCTACTCAATTATATTGTAGCATTATCTGTATAAAATTTGAGTAATTTTTTCATTCCATCCGCCAGATATAATCCATTACTCACCTTTCACAAAACCCACGGGAAGGGTTTCCTTATCTCAGCCGTGGTCCTAATGGCTGGAATCTCGTAAATTAATTAATTTACTAATGACTAGACCTTCTTTATTTTCTTTAGATACCATCTAACCTATTTTTATCAAAAGGTTTGAGTTCCCGATGGTCCAGCGGTTATGAGATTGACTTTTAAACACGATGTCCTACACCTCTTCGAGAATCCGCCTTCTTAGATAAAGTAAGACCAGGTTTTATAGGACCAATGTGTTGCCTGTGTTTAGTCTGTGGTTCTGAACTCTATTCCAAGAAAACTTATCCGGTGTAGATATGAATTTGGGTATTCAATATGTAGAATTGTACAGATTTTAATTAAAGCACATTTTATGGGTAATACAGTAAACGAGCAGATGGATCACCTGATGGTAAACACCAGCGGCGTTACAAGTGCATCACCGGCCTTTTGAGAATTGGAAATTTGAGGATTGTTGGGTATTCGAGGATTGGGGAGACTGGGGAAGGGGGTAATTGGGCCTCCGGTAACCTGACTCACACGACGAAACACAACGCAAGCGTTGTTAAACGTCGTTTTTATGTGAGGCTGTGGTATCACTCCGATCGAGCCAGCCCATTCGTGCCGAAGCATAGCTTTCCCAGACTACAAATTTCCACCACAAAATCAAAGTCTTTGCACAATAAAAACATAGGAATAGTTTTCTATTTATGTAGGTAGTATGGAATCTACATAACATCATAATATCACGCCTTTTATCCCCGAAGGGGTAGGCAGAGGTGCCTATTATGCCACTGTACAATGTGACACCTACTTTTCACTATTTATGTTATGAATCCCATGTAATATGTATGGAATCTAAAAGATTATATTTGTATAATGAAAATGAAACTTAGATTTCATATGCCTGATGAAAACTAGGAAAATAAAAGCTACCAAACTGTTTCCAACAACGAGCTAGAAAAAAAAATTACGTCACAAAAAGAAAATCTGATTTGAAATTTACTTCTTTTCACAATTAATACACGAACTGTAACTTTCAGTGCTCATTCCACCCCGATTTCAGTAACAGTTTTAATGAAACGTGAAACTTGGAAATGCATGTAAATGTACGACTACCCTACTGAAAAAAAAAATTAAAAAGTAAATAAGCGCAATTTTAACGTCACTCATTCGAAGTCAAAGCTTGGAAGTTTGTGTTTTTTTTGAAGTGCCAGGAAAAAATTTGCAAATCGTACTAATTAACTGAAAATAGTAGCTATAAAGGTAACCTAGTTTTCAAGTAGTTAGGGTTACATGTTTCTGGTTTTTATTTTTAAGTACTTCGACTGTGTCGTTGGTTGAGTGGTTGCGAGTGCGACTGCCAGGCAAGGGGCTCGATTTCCCGGGTCGGGCAAAATATTAATGGGTTTCATTTTAAAAATCTCAGTAGTAGCACGGAGTCTAGAAATGTGCCTGGTATATGACAATAGGCTCATCCCTATTAGATGGGACTCATAACATAAATAGTGAAAAGTGGGTGTTACATTGTGTAGTGGTATAATGTGCACTCTGCCTACCCTTTCGAGGATAAAAGGCGTGATGTTATGTTATGAGAATGAGAGAGAATATACTATGGTAGGAGTAATACCACAGCCTCACGGAAAACCGACGTGAAGCAACGCTTTCGTTGTGTTTCGTTGAGTGAGTGAGGTTACCGGAGGCCCAATTATCTCCCCTTCTCCAGTCTCCCCAGTCCTTAAATTCCTAATCCCCAAAAGGCCGATATCGCACTTGTAACGTCTCTGGTGTTTCAAGAATCCATGGGCGACGCCAATTGGTTACCATCAGGTGATCCGTCTGCTCGTTTACCGGCTTATCCCAAAAACATAAGTGGCAAAAGACACCATGATATAGAATCACGAGATATTATTTTATACAAATCGAAGATATACCTGCCCGTATTATATCCCACCCTTATGCAAAAACACGCGATTTTAATTTAAAATATTTCAATTTCGAAACTCATATTCTCAGTAATTTCGCAGATGGCAACCCTAGATTTTTCCTATTTGAATATAATTTGTGCAG